GCGCGCATAATATGCCACAAAACTAATGAGGTCGTTAGCCATGCCGATGGTAATCGAGAGCACGGATTCGACAGGCCGATGTGACTGCGATTTCCATAGAATCGTTTAATCTTACGGGCGATCGTGCGTTAATTGGATGATGTGCCAGTTAATTGAAAACCCGTCGCGATTCTGTCCAAGAGATTCTCTTCCTCCTTTTTTTTCTCCCCTTTTTATTTCCACCCCCGGCCGGATCGGCCGATCCTATCGTTGGTCAATTACCGGGCCCTTCTAATTGCTCGTTCTCCTTAATCCTTCGTTAATGACGCACTAATTTTCATGAAGCCCTCTGCGCCGGAAATAGTTAATAATTGGTCGGCGAGCCAATCGTTGTTTAGACGGCTACGCGGTCTCCGGGGGTGGAAAGATGAGCGACGATATTTTTAATATCCTTCAATCGATTTCGTCAATTTTTATTTCGATTGTTAAGGATAATTTGTTAATATTTTATTTTACAGTCATATTTGACTGTTGTAGTCTCGCTGAATATGATTAATATTTATACGATAGTAGTATTCGTTTTATAATAATTATTTATATAATATAAATATACAATTTTATTTATAATAATGGGTTATTATAACGCTACACGTTTGTATATAATAATCATTTCTGTTATAAGCGAACATTTATTATTATTATGTACATTTATAACTTACGAACATTTATAAATTATTATGTATTATATAGTTCATATTTTTGCAATTATAACAGTAATAACTAGACTGCGGATTTTTGTGCAAAATAAAAATTGTCCGAAGCAATTGCAATCGACAGGAACTAATTAATAATATATTTCTTCTGTCGATGAGAGAGAGAGAGATTCCAACGCATTCAGCAAACTGTAAGAATATTCTTAAATCGTTTCAATGTCCTCATTTGTTTCTCCCCATATTTGATCCGATCGTTTCAATCGCAACCGTATAAAGTCAGAAATGCAACAACAACATTTTCGAAATCGTTCATCCTGCTACCGTCGAAACGACGAGAACGCGATCTCGTCGCGTTAACGACAAACAAAAACGACCGAGCAACGAGAGCGACGCAATGATTACTAAAATTCCGATCGAAAAAAAATCGTAAAACCAAGATGTTAATTTCATCGAAACAATTTTTTTATCAAGCATTAATTAAAAAGAAATGTCGCGCATAAAAATAGTTGTTTCCGTGCCGAAAAAAAGAGACCCATTGAAACGGCGGGCTACACAACGGTCTTAATAAGAAGACAAGCAACAATTGTCATTGGTTTAAAAATGTGGGTCGACCGAGGAGCGCGAATTGAATTTCTAAAGAAGCGCGGTCGTTTATTTTCGTGCCGGCACATTCCCCACTCCCCCCCCCCCCCCCCCCCGTCGCCATTCCACGACACTGATTAGTAGTGACTTCCATTCATTAGTCGGAATATCATCACCGTGTACGCACGGCCGCGAAAAGGAAACAACGTGTCGGTTTTTTCTCTTTTCGTTTGTTTTCGTTTGTTTGCTTTGCTTTTTCTTTTAGCATAGAAAATAGTATAATGCAACGACGCGTGCAACACCGACAAGAGATTCAGGTCACGCGACGTTTTTATTAAACGCTCTCTCTCTGCCTACTTCCTTTTTATTATTTTTTTTCTTTGTCTTTCTCCTCGCTCCCCCCCCCCCCCCCCCCCCCCCCCCCCCCCCCCCCCCCCCCCCCC